ATCTGCAGATATGAGTCATGCTGATGGAATATATAATGTTGGACGTTGTTATGGAAATGGAATAGGAGTTAAAAAAGACATAAAGAAGGCATTCGAATATTATCAAAAATATGCAGATATGAAACATGATGATATTGGACGTTGTTATGAAAATGGACTAGGAGTTGAAAAAGACATAAAGAAAGCATTCGAATATTTTCAAAAATCTGCAGATTTGAGGCATGCTGATGGAATATATAATGTTGGACGTTGTTATGAAAATGGAATTGGAGTTGAAAAAAATATAAAGAAAGCATTCAAATATTTTAGAAAATCTGCAGATATGAGACATACTGATGGAATATTTAATGTTGGACGTTGTTATGAAAATGGAATAGGAGTTGAAGAAGACATAAAGAAGGCATTCAAATATTATCAAAAATCTGCAGGTGCGGGACATGCTGTTGGAATGTTTAATGTTGGATGTTATTATGAAAATGGGATAGGAGTTGAAAAAGACATAAAGAAAGCATTCGAATATTTTCAAAAATCTGCAGATATGAGACATGCTGATGGAATATATAATGTTGGACGTTGTTATGAAAATGGAATAGGAGTTGAAAAAGATACAAAGAAGGCATTTGAATATTATGAAAAATCTGCAGATATGGGACACGTAGACGGAATATTTAATGTTGGACGTTGTTATCAATATGGAATTGGAGTTGAAAAGGATTATAGTAATGCATTACGTTATTATCATAAATTTCTTGGCATGGGAGATTCTAATAATTATGCAAGATGTGCACAATGTGGTCTATATAATACATCACAGGCGTGGTGCAAACCATGTGATTCTTATTTTTTAAAGTCTAAAGAATGCGAAAACGGAAATGAAAATATCGATAATTATATAAAAGAGTCACAAATTAAAGCCGTAACATACGCGGATGTGATCGAATGGATTCCATACGGTAGGTTAATTAATTTACAGGAAATCTACGTTGGATCTGAAAAGAAATTAATGGGAATCTGGTTGGACGGAATTCGAAAAATCGAATTTACTTTTGATAAACGTTACAAACAACTACGTACACAACCTCGTTTGGTTCATCTCAAGAAATTGCATAATCATCAAACTGGTACTTTAGATTTTATAAATGAGGTAAATTGAGATCGGTCACTGTATTTCTTATTACTACACTATTACACATCATTAACATCCATAACTTATTCATTTACAAGCTTAATACTATAATGCAATCGAATAAATATAAAGTATATGGGATAACTCTAAACACAATAGATAATAAATATATGATGGTTTTATCAAATGGATTCGCCTCTCTTAGAAAAGAAGAATTCGGTAAATGTTTAAATTGCACCAGATATAATACTTCACCAACGTGGTGTCAGTCTTGTGATCCTTATCTTACAAGTCAAGGATGGACAAGTGGAAATATGGAGATTGATAATTGTATAAAAGAATTTCAACTTAAATCTGCTAAATATAATGAGGTAATTGAATGGATTCCATATGATAGGTTAACTAATTTAACAACAACGATGGTATATCGATTTATATGTAATTTTTCTAAAAAGTATATGGTTTTAACATACAAATTACTGAATAAATTTTAAATTTATAGATGATAAAAATTGCATGCTTTCTTCTAAAAGAAAAATATTAAACGTTAATGGTTGGTTAAAGTTTTTAGTTGGACGAATCTAATTGTAACAACATGTTACACGCTTATTTGTAACAACATGTTACACGCTTATTTGTAACAACTTAGTACAACCAATTAAAATAACTACTCCAACTACTATTGAGGTGGTTATATGTAACATGTTGTTATAAATACATTTATTCTTTCTAATTTTATTATTATGAATATATTAACAAATATTTTTAATCAATTAGATAATTCTGAAGAAAATAAATCACACAAGAAGTTAAAAAGTTAAATTTTATATTTATATTTTATAAAATTATATTTAAATTTAAATTATTTTTAATCTACAAACAATTTTAAATAGATAATTCTACATATTAGAAATAATCAAATCAATTGTTTTTATATTACATTTTAAAAATTATTCTGTCAAATAACTATAGATTTAATAATATTCTCTTCACACTTATAACATTTCTGCATCCGAAAACAAGCGTTTACTTGGTGAGCTTGTAGAAATTGTAAGAAATTCCAGACCATTTAGCTTAAAATAAGAAATTACTATTTTGCAAAGATCACTACACTATAAGATTTTCTTCACAATAAGTTGTAACTTTATTATTATCTTGGTTTTGTGAGTTTGATAAAAAATAAATTTAATAAATCTTTCACAGCAGGCTTTGATTAGTCATAAAAATTAAATTGGATAACTTCAAATAATGCACAAACCCCTTTATGCATATCGCTTTCAACGCCTATTCTCAAATAATAATAATAACCAACTTGATACATTCTATTAGGATTATTCATCTTCGCAAATTTTTAATGAAGAATGAATGCTTTATTCTTATTCTTTTCCATTTCAAT